ATTATGTCTAATCTCAAAATATCTTGCTTGATTAATTAATTGTTCTTTTTGTCTGTTTGTATAATCTTCTGGTATTTCGTCTGTGTCTAAGAACTTATATATTGTATAATATCAGTCTAAATTCATGTTGATGGTGTTGGTTGGGTCTGTGTCTGTAATCGTGAGAGTGCATCAACATTGGAATGAATTCGTCCTAGTTTATGAACAACTTAGAAGTCATAGGGTTGTAGCTTGAGTATTCATTGTTCTAGTCTTCCTTTAGGTTTAGCTGTCTGTAACCATTTAAGAGCATAGTGGTCTGTAACAAGAATAAATCTTGTTGCTCCAAGGTATTTGTGAAAATGTTCAATGGCCTATACAACAGTAGTGCATTCTAGTTCCGTGGCTCTGTAGTTTACTTCTTCTTTCTTTAAGCTTTTGCTAGCATATGCAATTAGATGTTCTTTCCGGTTGTCATCCAGTTGGCTAAGAGTAGCATCAAATCCATAGTAGGAAGCATCGGTGGCTAAAATAAATACTCTTTTAAAGTTAGGATATGCTAGAATAGGAGCACTAATGAGTTAATGCTTAAGTCTGGAAAAGCATCATGTTGAGGTTCATTCCATTCATAAGGTTCATCTTTGTATAAGAGCTGATTAAGGAGCTTGGCGATTGATGAAAAGTCTTGGATGAATTGTCTATAGTATCCAACTAGTCCTAAAAATGATCGTAGCTGAGTTACATTCTTAGAGAGTTGAATCTTTTGAACGGCTTCAATTTTCTGAGGGTCAGGTGCAATTTCTTGGGGTGAGATGATGTGTTCTAGAAAGGGTAGTCGTTGCATCCAGAAACTACATTTTTCTATGTTGAGTCTAAGTCCGGCTTGTCTGATTCTGGTAAATACTTCTTCCAAATGTTTCAAATGGTCTTCAAATGTTCATAAGTATACTACAGTATCATCCAAGTATACTACTACAAATTTCTATGCAATTTTGCTATAAACTCGATCCATAAGTCTTTGGAAAGTAGCAGGAGCATTGCACAATCCAAATGGCATGACATTGAATTCATATATGCTATATCAAGTTACAAAAGCAGTCTTTTCTCAGTCATTAGAGTGCATGGCAACTTGCCAATATCTACTAGCTAAGTTTAAGGTTGAGAACCATTGAGATCTGGCAAGAGTGTTGAGCATTTCATCTATTCTTGGTAAAGGATAAGCATCTTTCTTGGTCACAGCATTGAGCTTTCTGTAGTCTACACAGAAGCGTAATTTACTATTTTTCTTTTTGACTAATACAACAGGTAAGGTCCAGGAGCTATCAAAGGGTCTGATTAGTCCATTGTCTATCATTCGCTGTAATTCTTCTTTTACAAAGTCTTGTTCATTTGGAGGTATCGAGTAAGGTCTAGATCTAATAGGTAGTACATCTTCTGTATATATTCTGTGACTGACTAGGTTAGTGCATCCTAGTTCATTCATGTTAGAGGTGAACAAATCTCCAAATTCTTTTAACAATTGTCTAAATTGTTTTCCTTGTGTCTGTGTTAAAGGTCCAATATTTAATGATGTTTCTTTTTCTAATGCATACTCTTCATAAGGAATGAGAGTATCTATACTATATACTTCTTTAGAAGCTAGGGTCTGTCTATTAATGTCTGTATCCACAGGCAGTTTATCATCATACCTGAGATTGTCTAAAAATTTTGCGAATCAAGAAAGTCAGAGAACTGGTTGGCTCTTTCTTGTACGTACTGATTGTCATACTTCCAAACTTGTACTAGTTATTGGTTGAATGTTTCTAGAGCAGTCACCTTGGTCTGTAATTGCTCGATAAGTTGGCTCTGGTGTGCGACTTGTTGCTGTAGCTGAAGGATAACTGATAGAGCAGCATCTGATGTAGGAGTAGGTGTAGCAGTGCTAGGTTCTGAGTTGAGGAGCAGTGGATCTGGTTCTGAAGTAGGACTTAGGTCTGGTTCCGGTTCCGATTCGGGTTCCAATTCTGGTTCTGGTTTCAATTCTGGTTCTGGCTCGGATACAGGTTCAGATTCTAGGCTAAAGATAGGTGGAGGTGCTAAAGCACAATCCTGGCAGCATCCATCATTTTGGTCTAGTTCATCTTGATGCTTCACATATAGGCATTCTTTGCAAAGGTCAACAGGCACTTCAAAACTTCGGCACAAGTTGGCTAGAGTGAGTTCTTTGCAAAAGTCTGGGTGAGTAATGTCAAAAGAAGCAGCAAGGGTATCTTGAAGTTCATCTTCTTCATCATCTGTTAGGGTTCCTTGTTCAGCACGAAGGATTAAACTCATTTCTTCATAACTCCAAGATTGGTTGATGCGGTCAGTTGCAAGTGGTTCTAGAGCTTCAGTTAGGTCTTGGTTACTTTCTTGCAGGTAGATCTTAGAAAGACAAAAGATACGTGTCTGGTTCATTTCATACTGATGTCCAGCATTTCTGGTTGATTCAGTATAATGTCTAATTCTAGTTCACAGGTTATAGTGAGGGTTGTAGAGGATATCTCAACTAACTTTATGCACATATACATATTCGAGGCTGCAGAACCAAAGTTCTTCTGTGATGCTTTCTATGTTGTGCATCCTGGATCTGGCATCCTGGTATTGGCAAACTTTGCAAGTAACTAATATTCCACGGCCTGGTCCTTGGCTATAGAAGTTAATACTTCTGGGGTCATCATGATCAAGGTCATAATGATAGGTCATATAGCATCCATAGCATACAAGTTGTTGTTCTATGATGTACAGACTGTCTGGTCTTTCTGGGTTCTTGCAATTGCAGCAATGGTGAGTGCGTCTGTTACTATGGAAATAGACTCTACTGGACTCAACTTCAGTTCGGCTACATCCACATTGGTAGATCTGATTCTGATGCTTCAATCGAGCTAGAGGGCAGTCGATTTTGATGTGGCCTAATTCTTGGCATCCATAGCACAAATTCTGAGAACATTGTCTATAAAGATGATCCTGATTGCAGGTGTGGCAAGTAGTTCTTTTGGGTGCTTGCTTGGTGCAGTGTACAGCAATATGTCCAGTCTGTTGGTATCTGTTGCAATAATTAGTAGGGCAATGTGTGAAGAGATGACTGGGTGAACTATAGTTTCCACATACTCGAGCAGGAGGTGAGGCATAAGTAGTTTGAGAGGTTTGCAGAGGTCTACGTCTTGGCTGGATTACTGTCCAGTCATGGTTAAGGTCTGAGTCTTGGGTCTCAAAAGCATAAGCTTCTTTGGGTATTAAATATTCTTGATCGTAGAGGTCTAATTCTTCTGGTTTGGTAACAGTAGGTTGAGCAGATAAGAGTTGGTCTGTTTCATAGGTAGTAGGAGTATGATATTTTCGGTTTTTCCACTTGAAGGAATAGCATCCATTATTTCAGTTGTAGCTGGCTTCAACTTTCTTGGACCAGTCATTTCCAAGAAGTAAGGAATAGGAGTTAGCAGTAACAACTTCAACAGTAATTGGCACTGTAATTCCTTCAATTTGTACTGGGAGGTCCTTAATAATACCAAGAGATCTGGAGAAGGCACCAGTTGCAGAAACGATAAGGCTGGTGGAAGCTTGTTCAATCTTTAGTCCTAGTTCTTGGACTACTTTGTGAGTGATCATACTGATAGAGGCACCACTGTCTATGATTGCTTGGTATAGTCTATTTCTAAGTTTGATGTTGCATTTTACAGAAGTGGTAGTAGGTTCTGGTGAGGTAGATAGAATGGTTTTAGTTTCATGACTAAGGTGAGCAGAGAGGACACTTCGGATAGAAGGGTTGTTAAGTAGGGTTTCTATTTCTGTTGACTGAGAGAGTTGGTATTGAAGTTTTGATCTACATAGTTTACATTGCGATAGTAAGGTGAAGGTGATCAATTTAATGGTCTGTAGGATCTTTCTCTACTACGTTTTCGAGAGGAAGCTTGGTCAGATCTATAGTAGTCTCTATCTCTAGACCGGCTTCTGTTTCTGTGATTATCTCTGTAATTATCTCTACTGTGAGAGCGAAGTTGGTCATGATAATCACGGCGAGAGTAGTCTTGGTAGGAACTTCTAGAAGATCGTTCAGGTTGTCTAGGTCTTTGAGATTGTTGGTCTTGTCTTCTTGCATTACATTTTGCAATAAAATGTCCAGTGCATCCACAATAATGGCAAGTGGGAAGTTGTCGGATAAAAGGAGCTTGGTTAGGAGTATCAGCATAGTTGACAGTAATAGGAGTTGATTTCTGGGTAAGTTTGATACTGAGTTGAGCAATCTGGTCTGTTAATTGTTGATTGCTTGGTCTGTTCCATTGTTGAACTGAGAAGAGGCTATAACATGTCCAGTTTCCTATTGACGTGCAGAAAGAATAGTAGCATCTAAGTCAGCAGGTACAGCAGCTTGTATATTGATAGCGTATTCTGGTCAGAGGCCTTGAATAAAGAGTTGGCTGATAAAGAGAGCAAGAAAATTATTTTCAGGATTTACTCGCTTTTTCAATTCTCTAAATCTGTTAATATAGGCATCTACACTGTCTGTTCCTTGTTTAATGTTAAATAATTGTTTTTGCCATTCTGCTGTTTGTTTAGTAGTAATGAAACAGGTCTTGAAGAGATGCTGAAAACTTCGGGCTGGTTGGCCATCATCATTGAAAGCTAAAGAAAGAAGGTTTTGGCTAGTATACCAGTCAAGTGCAATGCCCTTAAGGTATACTGGTGCTAGAGCTAATTTTTGAGCAACACTCCATCGATTTGCAGTAGCAGCTTGTCTAAATTCTTGTAGCCAAGCAAGTGGGTCTTGGCTTCCATCTCCTGAAAAGGGTTCAACAGTCACAAGAGTCTTTTCACTGCCTTGACCTAAAGCATTGGCAAGAGCAGTCATAGCTTGGGCAACATCTTGTAAAGCTTGTTTAGCCATATTAGGGTTAGATTCGTTTATAGCAGGTGGTAGTAGTGGAGAATTATTCACAGGAGGAGGGACAAAATGTTGGATAAAAGGTTGAACAGGTAGTTGTACTAGAGGTAGTAGAAGAGAATATATAGGAGCAGTATAGAAAAAGTCTTCTAGGTTGATATCTAATGCGTGGTCTGAGTCTGATTCTAATTCTTCTTTACTATTATTTTGAGATACTAAAATATCTTGTTGATCAAAACCAATAATCCAAGAAGGTGTATCGTGGGTTGCAGGTGGTGTTTGGTGGATTACTTCTTCACTGTATGGTGGGAGTTCGTCAACTGGCTCGTAGGAGTGATGGGTGTCTTCAAGTAGAACAGTTATGTGAATACTGTTGTCTACAGAGGTTGCTTGTAAGATAGGACTTCCTAAATTTTCAAAGTATTGGCTAAATTCTCCTGGTTCTTCAAAACTAAAGGTTTGGGGTTCGTTGAAATAATGGTCGAAGACGTTTTGGTATTCAAAAGATAAGGTAAGAAGCTGAAGAAGGTTGGTATATTGTCAAAGAAGTGTAATTGCTATGGCTCAAGAGTCAGGAAGTGCAGCAGAGTATTGATAGCTAAAGATGATATTTCGGATAGAAATGCAAATATCAATGTGGTTAGTGATACCTATAAGGATAACAAAAGCGTTCTGGGTTCTTTGGGAATAAAGTAAAGCTGGGTAGTGAAGATTATAAAATGTCCAAAATCTTCCAAAGGGTGTGCGAGAGCTTACACATTGAGGATAGAAACAGTTAGTACAGGAAAGATCTGGGTAGCGTAATTGGAGTATGTCAAAAGCTAAGTATCCTAAGTCTAAATGTGCTTGCTGATGATTATAAATATATTCTCTATATAACTCGTCAGCAGTTTGTACCATAAGTTAAAGAAGAGGAGTTGCTATTGCAGCAATGTCTAAGATCTACAAAAAAAAGGAAAACAGCTTGCGTGCTGGAAGCAGATGTCCAGAGAAGATAAAAAAATAACGGCTCGTGTGCTGGAGACAATGTCCAGAAAATCCAAAAATAATGGCTCACGTGCTAGAGACAGATGTCCAGAAAATTCAAAAATAATGGCTTATGTGCTAGAGACAGATGTTCAGAGAGTTACTGAAGAGGAGAGGAAGAAAGGTGTCTAGGAAGGAAATTAAATTATATTTTTGCCAGAAGGCACCAAATGTTACAGTATTGTGGCCTTCTTAACAGCAGTACTATAACAACGACACAGCTACAGAGATCCTATTTAAGGTTTATAATGGTGTCCAAGAGGTAAGTATAATTTCTTAGTCTGTAAGAAACTATACCCTTCTCTCTCTAAGGCAGTTCGGTAAAACAAGAGATAATAGTTTATACTTTAAACAGAGATAACAAGCTTTGCCTGTAGGAATTACTCTAGAGGGAAAATATTATATACTTTATTTAAATAAGAGGGAAGAGGCTATCCGTTAGGTTTCTGTGCCTAAGGAATCCTTTACAAAAGAGAATACTAAGTAAAAAGGGTAGAGGGGAGGTTGTTTAAATCTTCTGTCGCTTAGAGAATTTAGCAGGGTTTATATATCTTTCAAGTTAAGTGACAAAGCGACTAAGCGACTAATCGGCAAAGTGACTAAGTAGCAAAGCAACTAAGCGACTAAGCGGCAAAGCGACTATATAGCACAGTAACTGTTTGGCAAAGTAACTGTACATGGCAAAGTAACTGTGCATCAGCAAAGTAATTATTTGGCACAGTAACTATTCGGCAAAGTAACTGTGTATTGGCAAAGTAATTATTTGGCACAGTAACTATTCGGCAAAGTAACTGTGCATCGGCAAAGTAAATGTTCGGCACAGTAACTGCGCATTACCCTATATACTCTAATTATAAATAACTATAAAATAATACAATAATAGAATAATAATAATGTCTAATAATAACTAATGCTAACTAATAATAACTAATAATGTCTAATAATAAAATAATCATTCTATAACAGTATAGAAGGTTTTCAATAAAGGTCATAAAAACCATCATCAACTCTTCTATACAGATCCCTCGACCAAAATTTCTCAAAAAGCAAACTGACAAAAATACGAAGACTGATATTAAGAAACAGGTTTTGGAGCCTTAAGAAAAGTGAAAGAGCTCTAAAAGTTACACTTAGTTGTTAAAAGAAAACTAAAAAAGAAGTGCTTTGTTCGAAGATAGCAGCAAAAAACTAGAAATTCGACAAAATTTTGCAAAAATTTTGGAAAAAAGTGGGAATTGTCATTTACCCTGTTACTGCAGATCAGTTTGGTTATACAGAAATCAGAAATCAAAACAAAGTAAACAAACATGTACACGTGATTGAATAAATGACCAATCTGATAAGCAAATCTAGATAAACAAAAGAAAGTTCTAAAACAAATAGAATAGAATGACAAAAACAAGCAACAGAGAGAAGCAGTAAGAAGAAGAAAAAGAAAAAGAAACAAGTAGAAAAAATTAAAAAGTTAGCAGAACTTGACCAGGTAGATAAAGAAAAAAGAGAAATAAAGTTCACAACAATAACACCTATCCAAGCAAAAGATTTTTCATTAATAAGCTATTACTTAGGCAGTAGTATAATGACATAGCAATTAAATAGGTTTAAGAAAGTTTTTAACCTATGTATAGAATTAGAAGCAAATAGCACAGTAAGCAAAATGAGGAACTCGTTAGAGTTACAATATAGAGAAATAAGTACAACAACACTTGCACATAACAGAAGGCTTGAAACAGGTTGGAGTAATAGATTGACAAGATTTCGAGCTTTAAAGCAAAAACATTAAGCAAATGCAACAAGAGAGGAAATTATTGCGAAGTTCCAAGAAGCATTAACAAAAAGGAAAACCAAGCATCTAAGAAAGAAGAAAAGAAAGACCCAAATGCAACAACTACCACCTCAAGTGATAAAGAAAAAAACTACAACTAAACGAGATATTGATAAAAGCAGCCAAAAGATACAAAAAGTACTAGAAGAGCTTAAGGAAGAATCAAGACTGAAAATTAGTTGAGAAAATATTAAAGAAGTAGCAGTTGCAGAATTAGAAGAGATCAAGACAGAAATGCATACAAGCTGAAGAATACTTAAGCAAAACAATGTATAGCAATTCGATCAAGTAATTAAAGAAGCATAGAAAAAAAGAAAAAAGAAAACAGTTAATGCAGTTTGGTAGATGCAGAAAAAGAAGTATTTAGAAAAGTTGCGAACTGAGAAAAGAAAAGTGTTAGTGAGTAACTCTAAAACTCTGTTGAAGAAGTCCTATGACATTGGCCTAATGCTAGAAAAGATAGTACAAAAAGAATATGATGAGCAAAAAAGACCAACAAAAGACAGACATAAGTAGATGAAAACAAAGAAAGAAGAACAAGTAGAAAAGTGACCATCAAGAGAAAACAAAAAGAAAAAGAAAATTAGAAAAAGTAAAAAAAAAAAGAAAAGAAATAACTAAAGAAGCATTTGGATGGAAATACTGAAAGAAGA